TGACTCCCCATACCAATAATAGTTGCTGCGTCAATGACATCACATGGTTTTCAAATAATTCATATGACTCCCCATACCAATAATAGTTGCTGCGTCAATGACATCACGTGGTTTTGAAACAATTCATATGACTCCCCCATATTTAATAACAGTTGCTGTCTCAATGACATCACATGGTTTTCAAATAATTCATATGACTCCCCATACCAATAATAGTTGCTGCCTCAATGACATCACGTGGTTTTGAAACAATTCGTATGACTCCCCCATATTTAATAACAGTTGCTGTCTCAATGACATCACATGGTTTTGAGTTAATCTATGACTCATAAACGCCCACTTTAATTAGACCAGAAGAGATTAAATGAGAAGCAGAAGAGAGACCAATGAAACAAGATGAACATTTACTTATATTTTATTGCAGGTTTAAGTTGACACGGGAGGAGATCATGAATGGTCTTCCAATGATTGATACCTCTCGCACTGACATCTGGAACATTTGTCCCGCCCACGTGAAACCTGTGCCATGTACTGTCGAACGACACCGAACGTACACAGGAATCTGTAACAATGTCCAACATTCCAGTTGGGGGACAACGCATACCCAGTTTGTCCGCTTCCTTCCTCCTGCATATGCTGATGGTATGTCTAAAATTGTAAATAACGTTTAATTAAAACATGAACAAATAAGATTATTAACTGAGATATTAATTATATCGCAATGCAATAATAAACACAACAATGTCTCTTCCGCAGTTGAGTTACATCTGCTCGTTTTCTTCTTGTCTTGTTTGTTTAAATTGTAAACCATTAACTTTTCCTAAATATACTTTTGGTTCTTATTTTTTGACAATATTTCCAGTGAAAAAAAAAGAAAAGCACTAAGATTTTATCGGGGGGTTGGAGAGGGTTAACTCGTCTAACAGACTGTTATAAATCCTCTTAAGTACTTGTGAATTATAAAAGGCTAAAAGAGGAAGAAAGTTTGTTTGTTTGTAATTAAGCACAAAGCTACACAATGGGCTATCTGTGCTCTGCCCACCACGGGTATCGAAACCCGGATTCTAGCGTTGTAAGTCCGCAGACATACCGCTGTGCCACTAAGGGCAGAGGAAGAAAGAGATGGATGCCACTGGGGGCAGAGGAAGAAAGAGGCTGATGTTTAGTTAAAATAATACTACCAAAAAATATAATTGTTCTTTTATAGAGCGGTTTTTATATTACCGAATATTAACAAAGTGTGTGTGAGTAAACAGGTCTGGAGAAGTTGACCTGATGTTTGATCCTTCTTTTAGTCTGCGAGTTATGAAGAGTTGAAACTCTTTTCACAGTTATCTGTTATGATGTCACTCTTGACGTCATCATGTTGTAGATAGAGGTAGTTTATTATTTATACGCATCGTATGGGCGTGGCACAGTGGTTAGCATGCCTGGCTTGTAAATCCAAGAATTCACGGTTCGCTTTCCGTTGTCGCCAAAAGCACTGTGGAGTTGTGGCTGCGTTATAAAAGTAACTATCAAATTCAACTAGATGGTCAGACAATAGTAATCCTAGTGTTGTTGACTTTCCCTTTATTCTGTTAGTTCAATATTAGGGACGGATATGCCCTTGTGTAATTTTGCGCAAAAATTCTAAAACAAGCACCTTGACACGCCTAAAACTCTGTCTTTTTTTTATCACAGTTCACAAGTCACTTTCTTCATTTTGCTCGTGCTAGAAGTAACAAAATAACGCCATAACCTCCATATTCCCTTTAAGATAAAATAAAAACAAATTGACAACTTCGAGTCACGTAAGAAAATCTCCAATCATTTTCCCCCTAGATACTGTATATTTGTGACTTCTATGAAACCGGTCACGTTCATCTCTAACTTCCACTCATTTCCCCCTAGATACTGTATATTTGTGACTTCTATGAAACCGGTCACGTTTATCTCTAACTTCCACTCATTTCCCCCTAGATACTGTATATTTGTGACTTCTATGAAACCGGTCACGTTTATCTCTAACTTCCACTCATTTCCCCCTAGATACTGTATATTTGTGACTTCTATGAAACCGGTCACGTTTATCTCTAACTTCCACTCATTTCCCCCTAGATACTGTATATTTTTGTCTTCTATGAAACCGGTCACGTTTATCTCTAACTTCCCTCTTTCAGGAATCTCAGCTCCACGCATATCCGTAACCGGAGGACCGCTACCACCGGCTCGTGTGATCAGTACCTACATTCATCCGGACGTAGATTTTCCAAGTGGTGAACTGTCCGTCCTTGTCATGTCTTGGGGCCAATTCATCGACCACGACATGACCCTAGCGGCAGTACCAAGAGGTAGGTCTTCCTCTAACCACTGCAACAGAAATTGACCAAATCGTTAACGCAACACAATAAATTTAGATAAAATTGTATAATTTATGACATGCAAATTTGATAAAAAAAAAATGGTTTGGTTGAAAATGCATGTCCAAATATGATGTCCAGTTTCGTATTTCAAGTTTACATGAGAATAACAACAAGTTATTAGATTTGTAGGAGCGTTATAAGAGTGACAGTTAATCCCTTAATATGGATGGTGTGTGGTAGGGTGCTGTTGACTGGTTGCCTTTCCTCAAAAAATTAGGGACGGTTCCAGATAACCTTAGTAGACTTGACATATATTTATTTATCGCGTTTGACATGTATTTGGATGGAACGAAACTAGATATTGTGGTTGGACAGATTAAGGCACGTTATCTTATCATAATGATTGTTAACACGCTGCTTCAGTGTTATAAATACGGCCGCGTAATCTCGTAAATTTCGCGTTCTTTTTTTTTTCTAATCTGTCACGATGTCTGACTTTCCTTTTCCGTGTGGGACTAGGTATTTGACATCCGAAGTGTTTGTTTTCTAAAGCTGGAAGACGGATAAAAGAGGTATTAAACACTTGAATAGGACACTTTGTTCCAGTGAAACGTTTAGGGAGAAATTAACCTCAACATTTATACTTGTGACGTAATATTATGTTTTATACTTTGGTAATGCAATTCCATTATACGTATAAGCGAATACACTAACACGTACAGATCAAATAATTTAAAAATAGATTTAGTGGCTATTAATTTTACAATATTTGAAAGGTTTGTGTTTCATTATTAAGGAAAGTACGTTATCCCAAAAACTCAAGTTAAAAACAAAACGAACTACCTGTATATCTGTCGAACAACAAATGCTTCTTTTCTAAGTTTCTGGTATTTTTGTGTGTAGAAAGACTAAAAATCCCTGCTATCTTTCAGTTCTTTACATCATGTCTTTCAGGAGGTATTTAATGTTTTAGTATGTGTGCAAGAGCTAGAAATCCCTGCTGTTTTTCGGTTCTAGACATCATGTCTTTCAGAAGGGATTTAATGTTTTAGTATGTGTGCAAGAGCTAGAAATCCCTGCTATCTTTCAGTTCTTTACATCGTGTCTTTTAGAAGGGATTTAATGCTTTAACTTGTATATATAAGGACTAGAAATCCCTGCTTTGTTTCAGTTCTAGACATCAGTTTCTCAAAAGGTGTCTAATGTTGTTAGCTATCGATAGGGCAACACCTTATCAAACCTTCCTAGACTGATGTCTTGTAGACTCATGATGACACAACACCTTATCAAACCTTCCTAGACTGGTGTTTTGCAGGTTCATGATGGTGCAACGCCTTATCAAACCTTCCTAGACTGGTGTTTTGCAGGTTCATGATGGTGCAACGCCTTATCAAACCTTCCTAGACTGGTGTTTTGCAAGTTCATGATGCTGCAACACCTTATCAAGCCTACCTAGACTGGTGTCTTGTAGACTCATGATGACACAACACCTTATCAAACCTTTCTAGACTGGTGTTTTGCAGGTTCATGATGGTGCAACGCCTTATCAAACCTACCTAGACTGGTGTTTTACAGGCTCATAATGGTGCAACACCTTAAAAAACCTTCCTAGACTGGTGTTTTACAGGCTCATAATGGTGCAACAACTTATCAAACCTTCCTAGACTGGTGTCTTGCAGGTTCATGATGGTGCAACACCTTAACAAACCTTCCTAGACTGGTGTCTTGCAGGTTCATGATGGTGCAACATCTTAACAAACCTTCCTAGACTGGTGTTTTACAGGCTCATAATGGTGCAACACCTTAACAAACCTTCCTAGACTGGTGTTTTACAGGCTCATAATGGTGCAACAACTTATCAATCCTTCCTAGACTGGTGTCTTGCAGGTTCATGATGGTGCAACACCTTAACAAACCTTCCTAGACTGGTGTCTTGCATGCTCATAATGGTGCAACGCCTTATCAAACCTTCCTAGACTGGTGTTTTACAGGTTCATGATGGTACAACAACTTATCGAACCTTCCTAGACTGGTGTCTTGCTGGCTCATGATGGTGCAACACCTTATCAAGCCTACCTAGACTGGTGTCTTGCAGGCTCATGATGGTGTAACACCTTATCAAGCCTACCTAGACTGGTGTCTTGCAGGTTCATGATGGTACAACAACTTATCGAACCTTCCTAGACTGGTGTCTTACAGGCTCATGATGGTGCAACACCTTAACAAACCTTCCTAGACTGGTGTTTTACAGGCTCATAATGGTGCAACAACTTATCAAACCTTCCTAGACTGGTGTCTTGCAGGCTCATGCTGGCGAAGTTCCTTATCGAAACATGTGTTTTTCTGCAACTATGTATGTACTAACTAAACCCACCTCCTAAACAACTATGTACAACATAAGCAGATTCCCAGAAATACGATTTTAGGCACGTGTAAGTTAATTTATAGCTAAAACAGTGGTATAATGATACAGTTTAGAATATTCCACGAAATTTTACTGATCTGTGTGTGTATTCAACGTGTTCCCACTGTTTATTGTATTAGTTTCCACGTCAGCTAATTACTCTTTTTTCTTTTTTTTGTACCGCCGTGTCAATTAAATGTGGAATTACTTCACCATATCATATAATGATGAATTAAAAATAAAAACAGCGGATTATAAATTAAGAAGAACGACATTCCTTTGTCTTAGGCCTTGTTTGTTATTTTAGTTCGAGGAACTGTAAGCGTAAGAAGATAGAAAAGATATATTGAATAAACCTCCAGTTCGAAGAAAACGAAAGGCACGTTATGAGATCAAGCAAATCTAAACCAGCTGTTTCTTCAAATATAGAGTATTAACGTTTAAATGTACAGAATGTTTATTGTTCGATATGTGAGTGAATTGTTTAGAAGAAGACACGTACATTGTCATTCACGTCGTCCTTCTTCATTTAGAAGATGTAGAGTAAGGTATGCAGTCTCCTCTTTACCTCAGAATATGAGGAGAAAGACATTCACGTTGTCCTCTTTACACCAGAAGATGTGGAGTAAGACATTCACGTCGTTCTATTTACACCACAAGATGTGGAGTAAGACATTCACGTCGTCCTCTTTACACCAGAAGATGTGGAGTAAGGCATTCACGTCGTCCTATTTACACCAGAAGATGTGGAGTAA